AAATCTTTAATGATGACTAAAGCTGTTTCATTTGTCGTCAGGTTGGTGACATATTTCCATAAATCTTCCCCCATAGACTCTGGTTAAAAGTGGTCCATGCGCAGTAGCTCCTCTTCTATGGTAAAGATAGGAGCATCCTGGGGAGTATGGAAGCAAATCGTTACCATATTTAACATGAAAAAGCATTTTTGGAAATGCTTTTTCATTTTAAATATGGTAACGATTTGCTTCCATAGGGGAGCAGCTCTGCTGAGCTGAAAGCAGCTTTATTTCCACACCACCTCCTGCCATAGCGCTGACATCACAGTCGTCTGTTAGAAAGTGCGACTGATTTACAGGTTTTAAATTATTTAGCTACAAGGCTTGGCTAACTGCATGCAGCGAGGCTAAGGCTTTATTCTGCTTTCCCTGCCTCCTTTTTCAAATGTCAGGATCTGACCCAGCATGGATAAAGACAGCTATGACTGATTCAAAGCATTTTGCAGAACATTTTAGAATGTTGTTTTTTTGTTTTTGGCAGTTGTGTAAATATACTGGTGTGATACGTTAGTATAAATTTGATTGGTTGTTTGATATGTTTATTTTAAAGTTATGGAGACAACTCCACCATCTGCTGCTGCTCAACAGTTCAGTGTTTATGCATCTATAAAGCTGGAGTTAGTTTCTAGCCGATTTTCCCTGACTATGCGTTGGGTTAGAAGTTCCCGCTTTGTTTCTGAGGATGTAACATCAAGCGGGTCTAACCTTGAAAACTGAAGTTTTTTATTCAAGATGGATGTTGCAGATACTCAGAAGCAAACTCGACTCGACTCAGACGCCGACGGGAACTTCATGTGAGGCGAAAAAAGGTCTTGTGGTAAAAGTTTTTTGGCCATAGGCGGCAGTATCATTAGAAAACTCCATCATGCCTCTTTAAAGTCTTTGTGTGAGTGAAGCCTCCTAGTGCTCTGCCACAATTCATCTTTTTTATTTTTACGGGTGGACAATGCAGGAGTTTGAAATCCCGGCTCGATCAGCCTCATTCATTGTGTCCTTGAGCAAGGCACTTGACCCCCACTTTCTATTGATGGTGGTCAGAGGGCCTGATGACCAGGCAGCAATATGTACTGGCGTACATTGTACGCAAATAGTAGAAATTGTCAGCCCTGTTTTGGTGATGCACAGCTTTGCTATGCCCAAATTGTTCCCCTGAACGCTCAAAATTTGCTGGAGCTGGAAAAATTGAACTTTTGCTGCTCAACTCGTGACATCAACCAATCAGCAAAGCTGATCTGGGAGCTGGTAGGGAGACAGACACAGCACTGCTGATGCAGAGCGCTATGATCAATCCTCTGAAAGTTTATTAACGCCTAAATTAACTTAAAATGATGAAACCTGCCAGCAAAATATGTTCGATTTTACAAGCCTGCAGTTTGTACCACATAGGCTACCTGAAAAACACTAACTTCTACTTCCAGCCACCACAAACAGTAGGGGAAAACCCCCAAGAGACGACCAGGTAAAAGTCAGCTGCTGCTGGGGATTCCCAGTGACAGCGCACCACGGGTATGTGGGGGTCTGAGCAGCTCCCACAGAGAAATAATCTCTGAAGGCAGGATGGTAATCTGGATTAACTGACTGCACTGACGGTATTTTCAGGTGGACTTTCTCACGTCAAAATATATTCAAACTACTTTTTACCCGCTGATCACAGCAAATCTATCAAAAGCCATTGAACACAGGAGCAGCAGAAGCATCTTGACACACTTTAACGGACATCTGTCCTTAATAAGGACAAGCATCCAAAATGAAGCTGCTGAAGCATTTTTGCTGCTCACAAACGAGGTGTGAACCTAGCATTAGATGTTCAGATTTTTTGAATTAACATATGAAACATTATATTGTAGCTAAAAATGATCTCACCTCTACTCAAGCACATATACTTCCAATTACCAGGACTAAAGTAGGGTTGGAATAAAGACAAAAAATTAGCTGCATCCTACCTCTAAATGCAGGAAAAATCGCTTTACAGAGTCTAAAGTTCAACATTTTCCGGGGTAGGATCCCTGCGGCCCACCCTGTGGGCAGAGCCTAAAGTTTTGATACACCAAGGTTTACACCAATGAAATATTCCTAGCTAAAAGTCAGCTGGTGACGCCTGTGTATGGCAGCATCTATTCTGTCGGCTACTGTTTTCAGAGAGTGAATGAATAAATGAATGCAGTGTGAAGCGTTTTTAAGTCCCCTGACTGTATTAAAAGATGCAAGGAATTTAAAGCCACAGAGGACCTGAAAAAAAGGGCTATTGCTGCGGTATGACCTTCCTGAGCTGAAGACTTTGCTGTTTAGGCACGATTTTGGTTAAATGTATTTGGTTTTCAAGTCGAGCTTTGTCATATTCTATTTTTTAATCTTATCTTTACCTTTTATATATCTCGATTTTATATTTAGTTAAAATGTGTTGTCCTTTGTGCAGCAGCATGTGGTTTCATCTGTGAAAGGTGCTCTATGAATAAAGTTTCTTCTTCCTCTTACTGTATTAAAAACAAGAATTATTCATCATTATAACCTGTTTTAAAATAACTCACCATAGCCAAGACATTGAGAAATTCCCGAGTATCAAAATGGAGGAGAGTGTGAATAAACGGGAAAACCTCCTCCTTCTGAGAAGAGTCGCCTGAATGAAGACGAATCAGGAACTCAAACACCTGACAGAGAAACAAACACAAAAAGAACTTAATGAAAATCTGCTTATTTGAATAGATGCACACAGGATGATGAAGAAAGTTTGTCTGTTTTCTCCAGATGTTTTCGTGTAAAACTAAACTTTTCTCTGATCCTGGGTGTCATTCTGTGAGGCTCTTATAGCTCCTGTATTCATCTATAAGGACTTTGAAAAGTCGTTTATAATCAACCAAAAGGGATTCGAAGGTGAATAACAAATAAAACAGAAAACAATAAAATACTATAACAAAATAGCTAAAAAAAATGTCTTACAAAGACAACAATAACAGCAATAATGGACTGTTACATCTGCCAAGGACATTGACCCTGGGAACAGTGCTTCATGGACTTACTCAGATATAACACACGCATCTCTCATCTTTTTCGACTTTTTACCTGCAAGATGTCATGTCGTTTCTTTGTTTTCTTATGTGCTGGGGTTTTTACAGTCTCAAACTATCCTGCAATGTATAAAGTTTGAAATATGATATTTTTTTCCTTCCCTGACCTATCGTGATCCCTTTCTTTTGTTTTTCTTAACACAAGGGCAGCGCCTTTTATGGCAGCAAGGCCTCGGACATGGCGTCCCTCCATGTAGAATGTTTTTGTCTCTTGGATGGGCTGTACCGAAACTGAATTTCCCTTCGGGGATTGATAAAGTATAATTGAATTAAATTGAACTAAATATATTAGAAGAAACAAGGACTGGCTGATTGCTCCTGCTTTGTGGAACTAAAAGCCAGTTTTTAAAAAGATCCGTTTTAAAGTCGTAGGGAAGCGGCTGTTCCAACCGTTGCATTTCCGAATTCTCCTGAGTGGTGCATGACTTTACACGAGTGAATAAAGTGAATGTGATTGGTCGTTTATCAAGGGGCCGGGATTGTTGTGGTGGAAGGTTCACAAGCAAGTTTGATTTTAGCTGGTTTGTCAGAAGCATCTTGCTAACCAGTTAGCAACTTAGTGCTAGCAGGTTCCCAATGGGAAATTCCATTGGGACCAAGTAGCACTAAATTGGTGACTTAGAAACGACGCTGTCAAGGAACG